ATAATAAATAACTTCTGATTATTAATTGGTCTGTTTTCTGGCAACTCTCCACTTATTTTTACTGCTGCTAATGATTGGTTTGGGTCATTACTGAATTGAGTTGGTTGTGCTGGTATTTGCAGACATAAGTGTTTCTGAAATATGAAAACAAGCTTCGTTGTGCAGAGTAATGAATTGTGTTTGCATCACTCTCAAAGAGTGTGATGAAGACTCTTCGGTCGACCTTTGGTAGATCGTTTGGTTTTTCTTCTTTTATACTCAGGTACACACACTGCCTAACAAACTATCCCCTTTGTATTCATAAGGAATGGAGGATTTCTGGTCCTACTGAGCAAAGGTGAACTGTGTGTTTGAAGAACTCTATTTTAAGAATACTTTCCCAGCTAATGAGCAGGTGTGTATCTGGACTGGGTTTTGGTTTGTGTTTTAGCCAGAAGCAATTTAAGAAACAACGTAAAAGTAATGGTATGGCATGCTGTGGTGGCCTTTAGCTGTGAACCCTCCAACCATTTCCTGTCTGACAGCAAATTAGAACTGACTTCACTTTTAATACAACACAGCAGTGAGTGCAGAACGAGAAAAAAATGACTGAATAAAACAGATTTTCACAAAAACACATGCTTTGTTGTTGCTTTTTTTCACGCTTCTATCCATTGTTTAGGCATTTAGGAAGTTTCAACGGTTAGGAAGAATACAGATTATTGAAAATATTTTTTTCTGGCTCTGAGTCAATGTAGCAAGAGAGAATCAGCTGTGCTTCGCAGCAGTTAACAACGTGTTGTTGCACAAAGTTACAATTAACTTTTCACAGTCTTCATGGGGGCTGGAACAACACTGTTCCATAATTATATGATGTGTCAACTAGATATTAAGGTAATTAGATTTTTGCCTTTTCAGCTTTAAAGTGTATCAAATGCATACAATGACTGGAGTACATTTTACTTTTTTATGATTTGCCTGTGAAAGTTAACATTTTTTTCTAGGACTGTCAATGTCAACATGTGATTAATCTAAAAAAATGAGTGAGTTAATATTACACAATGCAGAATAATCACATCACCTATTTTGACCTAGAAGCATTGTGTGGTCAGCAATGCAGAGCCACAAACGCAAGAGAAAAGATGAGACTGCTGCATTCAGCAGCAAATTTCACTTTAAAAGAAACAAGCCATAAACTTTTGGATAAAATCAATATAGCATGTATTTACTGAAATTATGAATCTTCAGTAAATACGACCGGTTTATAATTAACATTTTGTTTGAAACAAAATGACTTCTTCAAATGATAAAAGCCTGGAAAACTGAGATGTTTTCTATCACATTTTTAAAAAATGTGCATTTTTATATTTCAAGTTTCCAAAGGTAAGCATAGTGATTAATTGTGATTAATCATAGTGATGGAGTGTGATTAATCTGATTAAATTTTTTAATCGATTGACAGCACTAATGTTTTCTCACATGATTGATGTTAATGTTTTGTACTGCTATTAAATCCATATTTCAGTGCATCTTTTGACAAAGTCCACCTTATGTCCGAGTCCTCATTCTCTGCAAGGACAGCCGGCTGAAGGAGGCCGTCACCAATCGGATATGCCTTCCCTGCAGAGGGTCATAGATGACAGTGTTTCAAGATAAAGATAGAGAAATGCTGTGTGACTCTGGCCAGTGGTCAGTTATTCAGTCCAGCTGTGAGTCAGACCATGAGGCGATGTCTTCTGACGTGACACCGAAAGGCAGAGGGCTGCAGCTGCAGCTCACATTGTGCCGCCAGAAAGATTGAGAAGGAGAAAAAAAAAAGACCCAGCAGAACACACATTTTGTCTTGGCCAGAAACATGACGAGGGCACAGGGAGGAGGGCGCACACAGTCATCTGTCGCTTTGGCAAAATAGTCATTTGCATGACAAATGTTGCGCTGTGTGTGTTTTAGTCAATGTGTCCTGCTGTGTCGGTGCTAATCAGCAGCGCCTTTTCGACTCTGCCTCTTTCCTCTGTCTTTTATGGAGATGTTTTGATAAATTCAGGGTTTTTCTAGACATGAAAATAAAAAAAAGTGTTTAAAAATGTTTCCTTTTTCTCTAAATGGGCTCACAGTAAAGAACATGTTTGCTGCCTATGGAATTCAGTTTGTTGTTGTCAAAGTCTTGAATTAGGACAAAGTATGCCATTATTTGAATGTCGGAGAGCCAAAATTAAGTGATGTCATTGATTAGTAGGGGGAAAACAACAAGGGTCCATTCACACAGGTTGTGGATTTCTAGAAATGTTCATACAAAAACACTAATAACGGCCCACTCCTGTTTTTACTCCCCCAGACCTGTAAGTGGCGCTAAGCACTGAGTATGGGGTATGAAGCCTCCACACGAGACTAACAGCAGGCGACAGGAGAAGAAGAATGACAACAGTCCGAGTGGACTTTTCCGTCTGGATGTCAATAAAGTTGAGTTTCTCTGTTCAATATTAGATAATAAAAATAATAAACTATTTATTGGTAAATTTTGAGCAGTTGCATGATATCTAACCTTGTTTTGTGTGACCTTTGTTTTAAATGAGACAATTACACTCAGGGATCACAGACGAAAAACAGCTTTTTGGACAATTCTGGCATTAATATTTACAGAAATATTAATGTCATCCCTGCCAGATAAATTAAAAATATTTAAAACTTCAACTGCAAAACAAGCATATGATATGCCATTGTTTGTATTTAGCATGGTGTGTTGATAGATTCAAACAAATCAATTGTAAAGTGGGATGTTAACGGCTCCCTCAGTTTCGTGTTAGCTCACACGAAACTGAGGTCCAAAGGGCCAATATAGTGTCAGATAGGAGATGTGACTTTATTTCCTTCTCTCTATATAGCTGTCAAGAGTGTATTTGAAAGATTATTTTAATGTAATAGAATTTTTAAACCCATACTCTTATTTTTCTTATTTCATAAATTAAAATCATAAATTAAGACACTGAAATGCCTTGGAACCATTCTGACATCAATCTTTTACTATGCAGTTAGATTTAAATAGGCTGACTCAAAAGCATGAAGATGGGCAGAAAACATTTGAGATTTAATGCCAATTTGAAAACAAATGACATAATATTTAACACTTTTGGAGGCGTTTAAAAAATCTCCCAGATGTTTTTTTCACATTACTGCCACAACTTTTAATGGATTGTATTGTGATTTTATGAGAAACAAAAACATAAAGCAGTGCATAATTTGATATTAACAAATTATGTTAATATAATTTAAAATTGTGAACTTTAAATTACTTTGCAGTTAAATTACTTAGAGTTAAAGTGACTTGTAAAGATTTTTTGTTGCACTGCATTTTATCTTGGGGTAATTTTATAACATTTATAAAATCACACCACTCTTATCTGATTTCAATTTCAACAAAACATGTTAAAAACCAATAAATCAAGTTCATTCCATTTCCCATTCATACAGTACATGGTTTTGATCTGTGTGATCACAAAAACATGCAGAAACAGACCATATGTTTCACAAACAGATGCTCTATTAGTGCAGTTTAGAAAAAGAGTAAGATCAGTGTTTGCCCAGCTTTGTATGAAACATGCAAGCTTCTTAGTGTTCTAGGAAAAATCAACCAAAAACAAATAAACACAAACTTTATGTCTGATTTAGAAAGTTGTCTAATAAAAAAGTTAAAAAAACTAAAAACAAAAAATAAATCCGTTAAAGTAAAAAAGCAAGTGAACCAAAATAACACTGGTTACTTCCTGAAGACCATCTCTCTATGATCAAATGCAAACTCTTTTCACAGATCTGCTACTTCAGTGCAATATGACCTGAGGGCAACCCATGCAAGACCTGACTGTCTCTCTCTTAAAATTGCCAGTCACAACAGCTTAGATGCTATTGTTTTTACCTAGTGAATCTGTCTGCCTGTGTTTGTCTGATACAGGAAGATGCTTCCCCAGACTACCTCTGAAGCAGGTTTAGCTTTAAAAACACCCTCGGCTGATGTTGACACATCTCTCTTCATAACACATTTCGTAAACATGAGAATGCCAAAGACCCTCAACTTCACTGTGGGGCTGTATACTAACAGACCAGCAAAAAGAAAGTAAAAAACTTGGATTGCAAATGTTCTGTTTTTGGTCTCAGAAAATATTTACCTAATATTAGAGATCAACGAGCATCTTGAAGGCCAGGTCCACAACAGACAAGAAGACATGGAGCAGCTTCAAGTGGAGTTAGGGTGTTTCAGATCAGGGTGAGTCCGGTGGACTTGGTTAGATTGGGAACCAAAACTGAAACATTTGCTTCATTTTCAGCTGGTGTGGTTTTCTTTCACACTGCACTGTAAAACAAACCAAACCCTTTGAAAAGCCTGTTCCCAGCTCAGGGGGGAGAATCTGTTAACAAGTAATTACTACATTACTCTTTATCTTATGGAAATTTGGCAAGTCTAAATACTTTGTAAGAACGCATCAACTTAAGAACTGAATGCACTATCATCTAATATCCCAGTAAATATTAATGAACGATGTGGTTATGTAACACAGTTGAGAAGGGTACAATATGTTTTAGGTAGATGGGCCAATAGGTTCGGCTGTCGGAGCACGATGGGTGTTTAAATGACACACATACACAGTTGAGTGAATTTAAAAAACAATTAGCTTTAGTAACATGAATCATAAACTCACAAGTGGACAAGACATACAATTAAGAAAATAAAATTACACACAATAAAATACATGAAATAAAAACAACAATACTTGGCCAAGTGCTAAATATCAAATTTAAATCTATTGGGTGCACCCTGGTAGTTTGCGCTCTAATCTCTTTTAGATGACAAATGAATCAAATTAAATCCTAGTTCAGGTCTCACTCAACATGGGAGGAAATCCAGATCTTTCTAAGTCCAGGTGGGAAGGCTCACCATCAAAGTCTGTAGAGGAATCCACTCCAGGAACAATCCAGGAGAAGAGAAGAAAAAGCAAAAAAACAAAAACACAACAAAAAAAAAAAAAACCTGATCTGTCAACAGACAAGACCAGCAGAAACATAGAATTATTATTAAACCATTCTAGCTTATTATGTTTCATAACTGTTCGAAAAATCCTTTTCCAAGAACAATAATAAAACATTACATTTTACACAAACTCAGCAAAGGTTCACATTTTAATAACTAAGTAGGTCAAATAAAGATCATTATTTGACAACAAGATAAAAGAACAAAAACCAAATGAAAGCTACAAAATATGCTCACCGATCTCAGTGCAGCACGTTCAAAACAACTAGACAGGGACTCTCATTCCAGACACGGAGGGCACTAGACAGTGTAAAATGCATATTTTTTAAGTTTTAACTAAAAAATATAAGTAAAATAAAAATACATTATTATATAGGCTTTACCTTCAGTTGAACTGAAAACAACTGCCAATCAACTGCCAGAAAGTGCAACAGTTCCAACTGATCTTAGTGGTTCTAACAGCAGAAAAACTGAAGTTCAGTTTTCTGAAACTTATCACTCTTTCTAACTTATAAGTTGGATTTAAACAATAACTATTTACAAAAAAAATTCCTTCAAAGTCAATAAATGATATTAGAAAGAAACCAAAAGACTCTCACTCTGGCTCAGCTGTCTGATCAGGGTCGGATCTCCCGCTCACAATCAACGCTGCCAACACGAGAAAGAAGGTGGAACCTCTGTGGCATTCCGCTCTCTGATTGGTCTAAACATTCATGGGAATCAAACTTCCCATTGGCCAGGCAGACCACCCCGCCTACCCAATCTCTATTTCCCAAAAGGCTATCCCCACTTTATGTGGGTTACACCTAGAACATGACACCATGTGAAGAAGTTTTCTAAGTATGAATGCAGTACATTTCCTGTAGTGTAGTAGCAGAATTGTGTCATTGGCTCCACCACAGATTCTGTATGTGATCTAAAGGAAAAGGGTAGAAATGATGCAACCACTGACGACCATCTGGCTCCATGTGTGAGGTCAAAGTGGAGAAGGCCAAAGAGTGTCCCATGATTTCCTGCAGTCGTCCCGCTCACTGCCAGTGCTGACACAGTTACAAGCTGCTTGTTCTACAGAACTCAATTGTCCTTAATGTGAGATGCCCGCTTTAGTCCGATGTCATGCTGTTCACAAGTTTAGCGTGCCAGCCCTCGTTGAAAGCTACGACCACCCCAGCAGCAGTGGGAGACGTCCATTTGAATCATCTGAATCATAGCAACAGCCACACATTTTTATTGGGTCAGGAAACTGCTGTGTTTGCTGATGTTCATAAGAACTTTCTTAAGCTGAGGAGCCATCCAGCTCATTTTGTTTATGCTGGATCCATCAGTTCAGCTGAGGAAGAAGACTGCTAACAGGATGACTTTGGACACATCCAGAACACTGACTGTCAACTTTTTTCTTGACTCAAGCTACTTCTGACAAAAGCAGATTGCAAGTTTCTAGCTCTTCTAGTCCTTATTTCCTACTTACTTGGAGAAATAACTTGTATTTGACAGCATGCTTAACCACAGTCAGGCTTCAAAACTCAGGAAAACCTCAAAAGAGACACACAAGCAGTGATTCAAATACAGATCTGTGCAAAAGTTTGTCTATATCCTGCTACTGTTGAAAAACCAGAGTCTTTTGTTGATTGTTGAACAGAAATTGAATTTAAAAAACACATAAATACACTTGTTCACATGATAAGTCATTAAAAGTCATGGCAGCGATTTATATAAACAGTCTCATGAGACATATTCATTATTCAGCCAATGACACAACTTTTACGAACACTGAGAGCTCTGAAAACAAAAGCGCACCATCATCCTTCTGCTATTTCCTGTTTTCTTCTTCGACGTTTTCACCAGAAATAATATCCAGCTGTTAATTTTGTGTGATGTGAAAAACGTGTTTCCATTGCAGTTTAGTGAAATACATGTATTTCAATGTGGCTGACAAACCACCTTATCCTTGCTCAAAAACATTATTTTTAAAAAAAAAAGTTTCTTCAAACTTGGCTTTTTCCCATTAAGCAAATTTATTTTTGCAATTTCAAATTGCGCAATTCTGTGGTTAATGGAGACACAGCTATGCGAGTCGATAGGTTTTCTGGTTCTTCCCCATTGGTGAAGGTCTGAATTTGAGCGGGCCACTTCACTTTTTTCCTTCAGCTTGAAAGCAAGGTTAGGGGCCCATATGTACCTTTGTGTTGTCTTGCAGGTCAAAAGTGACCCACTAGCATGTTTAGCTGTAGAAAATGTTTATATTTCCATGTGGGCTGTACACCAATAGGATATAAGGATTGTCTTGTGGGTCATTTTGGACCCATGAATGATGAAACCTGTTAAACACCAGAAAAAGAGTTCGAAGGCCACACACAAACTCTCTCTAATACATACACACACACACCAGCCCACACACACACACCTGTGCCCCCCCCCTATTCCCCCTCCACACACACACACACCCACACAAACACACATGCATACACACACACATTTATCAAAGAAACTGGTTTGATGTACAAATTGAACTTGTATTTGACCGCCACCTTCACTCTCAATCTGCACCTGACCCCTCACATCACACAAGTTCCCCAACACAACGAAAAACAATCTCTGACATAATAAAAACAAATTAGGTATAGAGGACATAAAGGTATATGAATCTGAGTACCACTAGATGGTTCCTATTTGAAGCCATAAGTCGACGTTTCACTGCCCAACAAGTCCTTTGTTCTGTCCTACATGGGATCTTCAGCATAAGAAGTTCAACATCTTATGTTGAACAAATTCTTGTGCTAAAGATGTTCAACTTAAAAATAGCTTATAAGTTGAACCTTATGTTGAACAGAAAATATTCTTCATCTTGTGTTGAACACAACATAAGAGCTAATGTTAAATTATTCACAAAATCAAGCAACATTTTGTTTTGTTGTGTTGTTTTGTCTCTGACATAATAAAAACAAATTAGGTATAGAGGACATAAAGGTATATGAATCTGAGTACCACTAGATGGTTCCTATTTGAAGCCATAAGTCGACGTTTCACTGCCCAACAAGTCCTTTGTTCTGTCCTACATGGGATCTTCAGCATAAGAAGTTCAACATCTTATGTTGAACAAATTCTTGTGCTAAAGATGTTCAACTTAAAAATAGCTTATAAGTTGAACACCTTATGTTGAACAGAAAATATTCTTCATCTTGTGTTGAACACAACATAAGAGCTCATGTTAAATTATTCACAAAATCAAGCAACATTTTGTTTTGTTGTGTTATAAGAGGTATTTTTATAATTTACTTCCTAAAAAAATATAAAGGAATGAACAGTTGACAAAAAAAGTTCCAAATTGTTGACTTTTTGTTCCCTTTCAGTCTAATTAATTCAGAAGTAATAACTTCTCATTTATATGATTACAGCAATAAACCTTTCCTGTGTAAAGGAAAACACTTGGTCTGTGGGGAACAAAATACTGTTGATCGTCTCTTTGTATTGTATAACAAAAATACATGATAAAAATATATTAAATTGGGTTGAATTGATAGATAACAGATTGTTTCATTATTCATCAAAATTTAATTGATTTGCTTTATTTTGGGGCTTTTGTTAGGCCAGTAAGATATCAAACCACCCATTAATATTTTAAAGGGGGGTCATTTTTTACCCATAGGACAAGGAGAGTAAACAGAATGTTAAGATCGGACGAGGGTTAAACCAGACCTTTAACATGCAGTGACATGCTTGACCAGTACAGAAGGACACTGTGACCAGTCTGAGCCAACACCCTTCATAACTTTGTATTTCCTCCAAAGTATTGTCCTGGATGTCTTAGCGAACCACTCTGCCACTCTGACGGAAGAACAGAGTGAGGAGACCAAATGGGTTTCATAATGGAATTGAGGTCAAAGGAGTTCTGATTGATTTGGGTTATTACCAGATCTTACCAGCACAAAAAAAGAACCTCATTACAGCTGAGGTTGTGTGTGTAAAATCCATCATTTCAGCAAACACAATTAAGATGCTCTGTAAATGATTTGGCAAAACTCGACAGTATTGCTCAGAAGACAGCCATCTAATACAGATTTAAGGTTTGCCGCTCTTCTCACACTAGAACAATAACTTCAGACAGAGCCACGTGAAAAATGTTGCATCAAAACACTCATGAGTCCAATTGATTCCTCTCCATTTTGTCTGTCTTTGCTCCCATCCCCCTCTTTTGTTTTGACGTAAGATACTCATCTGCATTTCCTCTCTCTCTCTTTCTCTTCTTCCTCATGTCTTTTCCTCCCTCTCTGCATTGCACTTTTCCAGCACACCTTTCCCCCCTGGCTCTCCTGCAACTAAATATAGTGACTGGTGCAGACAGCTCAGCCTTATAACGAATGGTAAGCAGAGCAGCGGTGCTGCAGAGGCATGTGCATTTGGATGAGCTGCAGCTTGACTTCAAGAGACAATGAAGTGCATTCATATGGTGAAGGAATCACAGACACATAATTTAGAGAAGGAAACAATGCAGATAAACAGAATGTATGTGTACTACTATCATAGATGAAGGGAAGAAAAGCATTCATTGCTGCAGATGACCTGTTGCTTTGGCACTGAATGCAAGAATACTTTTGTCTTGTCAACGGAACAAAATACGTTACTTTTATCTTTGATTGAGGGGATTCTGAAAGGTTTCCATACTATGGAAATGAACACAAGGCTTCTCCCTGTTACACTCACAAAATATATCAAGTGGAGCCAGCACAGAGTGCCTCCCACAGAGATAGACTGGAGCAGTACCCTCATATAAGTGGAATAGCAAGAGCAAAGCAGATTTTGCATGCACATATTGTGTGGGAGTATCCAGAGCATCAGCTGTTCCTGTTTATGTGAGGCAGCAGCATGAAGTGCAGAAAGGCAACATGGAAAACATTTACAGAGAAATTATTAATAACTCTGCTTTTCTGATACCAGCACCTTCACATGATTGTTGTTTTTCTGGGGTCACATGTCACACCAGAAGCTTCTTGAGCAATATGATGACTGGACATTCTCATCATGTTTATATGTACATATAATGGTCTCAACAAATTGGCCACATTGCATTTTATTTGTGAATTTGAAACCATTTGAGGCCTCTTGAAATTGGACCCAGTTTGAATCAGATTTGAAAAGGCTCATCAGAGATCTGGAAGAAATATATTCAACATTTCTAGAGGTATTTAAGTATTATACAGAACAAAAAGACAACCTAAGGTTGTCATATACCTCACATTGTTTGTGTCCATGAATCACATACTGATGGCAACACATTGCCCCTAGATATAGGAATATAGGAATCATAAAGCTCTTAAATTATGATGAATCAACAATCCACTGTTCAGTAACTAACAGATTTACATTTCAATATTCAGTTTATTTTGAAACTATTAGAATAATCCACTGACTAATATTTGTTTCCTCACTGTATCTACAGGCTTTTAGAAATCCAGAAATATTAGAATAAACTAAAGAATAGAAGAACAAAAAATATTTAAAAAATTAAAACAAACATAAAATAAAGATCTGAAGTACAAATGTGAGAGGTTCACAGATAGATCATGGAGAGTGTTTGGCTTTGAGGTAAGTATATTTGAATCTTTGAATCAAAATAAACTGAAATATCTCATTGGCTGTAGAGAAACAAAAAGCCTGTGAAAATACCCATAAATCACCAGATATTCCAATTTAAATAAACCTGAATGGTTCTTATTTAACTCCTCCTTTTAAAAAATGCCACTGCGGTTGAGGTAGGATGGAATATGGACTCGTTGTTGAACGTATCTGCATCAGTGCCATTAAAGTCTAACTGGTGGACTCACCCAGAACTCCAAGC